TTTTGAACTGCTATACTTTGTTTTACTTTTCTCATGTAAACTTGCAGCTTAAAGTTGGAGCAAATGAAGATGAGGTGGTTGGCATTCTAGTCCCTATGGTCATTCTGCTTCCCCTTTCTTATTTCACTCGATGTGGAGACATGGGCTCGGTGAAAGACAAAAGTGATTGCTCAAACAAACCATTAGAAACGCACAGACCGTGTCGACACCTTTCAGTTTCCTCAGAGCAGCAGGCAGTCAAATAGGGCACACAGTGTGGCGATCATGGATACCAGACATATGACATTTAGCTTCAGTTGTTATTGTTAGCTCAAAGACAGCTCAGGTGGATGTACAAGATGTTTTGTACTAACTCACTATGCATACTGTCAGGGCAAAAATAGGTCATGGTCATCTGGCTTTCACTCTATGTCATGCTCAGGGCATTGTTATGTGGCACACACAAACATGGGTATCCTGGGATGTGATATTGGCATCTTTTAGCCTCACTGGATTTAGAAGGTAAATGTTAAATTATTCAATCTGCTAAAAAGGTTAGGCAGAGACACTAAGGCAATGGCATAATGAAAAGTTTATAAGAAAACTAGTAACAGTGCCCAACACGAAGCACTGTCTTCCAAAGTGTCATATAGCCTTATAAATATTCATATATATAAATATTCATTGAGTAATCTCCACCAGCTGAATATGTGTTGAATGCAGGGTCGAATAAATCCAAGTCTGTTGACCTTTTGCTGGTATTAGTAGGTGTTCATTCTGTTTGTGTAGACAATTATGAGAAACTCTACACTAAAGCAATATGAAACTAGCCTCTGCAATATAGCAGTTGTTATGGATAAATGACTTTTCACACTTATTGCTTCGTTTTACAGTTTCATTATGTTTTATGCTCGTATTTAATAGTTTGAGGCCATAACATAAGGCAATATAACATCTTCTAAAGGATATGCTCCATGTCAAGTGTTACCAGCAGAGACCCACACGATTAGCTGCTGGATGGTGAAAAAAGGTAAAATGTTCTCTCTCTTATTCTGTTCAATGGAGAGCTCTCTAATTATAACAAATTCATCAATATTACATCATCTTTATAACCATTAATACCTAATGCCAGGTCCAATAAGCTCAAATATTTATTTTATCAAGCCGTGTCACGTCAGTCACAATCCTGAAGTCCTGAATCCTACTTCTGACACCAACCAGTGGAACGTAGTCCCAGGTGCCCTGCACACAGCTTTGATAGTTAGTACCTGTGCTAACAGGTTACCTAATGCCCACTTTTATCTGAAGAGTAATGGCATGAATCTACATTAGTTCTAAATGCAATTTCCCCCAAATACAACGATGGACTAACAGTGGATGGTTTGTTATACTGGACATGCACTGAAGCTCTCTACTCGGCTGAGAAATGATATGGATCAGGCTGTAGTTTTGACATCATAATAGCACATTGGCTGCTTGCAATAGTATGTTTAGTTTTTTTTTTTTGTTTGTTTGTTTTTGTTTTGTTTTGTTTACTGAGAGCACAGTGCTTGATGGCAGATTCTGCAGGTGACAAGGCACACCTTGACATGGTGATAGCCTATACGCTACATGCACTTTACTGAATGCAAAAGAGAGCAAGGGTTGTGAGACGTATTCATTTTGGTTCAAGTTTCAAAGAGGAGTTTGTGTGTGTATGTGTGTAAGCGCAAAAGATATGTTTGGAATAGAGTCGAAGATAATTGTCCTTTTCCTCTAAAATCATTTAGCCTGATTCTCTTAAAGCCTGCTACTGAGATGTGGCTTTTTGCATTTTCAGATAATATTTACACCATATGTGCATTCTCACACATATATCTTTTAGCAGTGTATTGTGTGTCAGCATATAGGTATTCAGAGATAGGAATGCCTGCAGTTTTGGGAGCTGCCAGATTTGCGATTCTTCCCAAGCAGAGCAATATTTCAAACTCCAGCTAAAATCTACAAAAAAATTACAGCTCAACATAGTCAGTAGCCGTTCTATATACAGACACACATATATAAAATATGTGCATATAAATACATATATTTGTTTGTGATTAATATCTATTTATCCATATACAGTATACTGTATATATGAATACATTTGCTTGAATGCTTGTTATACATATATATGTACTGCAAATATAAACAAGTTCATATATTTCAAATGTGTCTGATGTTATTCTATCTATGAGGTTAGGATGTCAAGTTAAAAAAGATAAGGCTGTGATACGGAGCAGCCCCTCCCATGCACTTGCCATCCCTCCCAAGACAAAATGAGAAGAGGAAAAAAATAAACATTTTGAGTAATTGTAAACTAGCGAAGTGAGAGACCCCATTTGGTCATTTGAAATAGTTTTGCCTGTATTCAAAAAGCATATCAGCAATATATATGTATATATACATGTGTTGTATATATTCGAAATGTACACTTCTTTTAAATGCAACTCCTCAACCAGTTAACACTGACTAAAAGAGATGCAGTGGTCCGAGTATAATAGAGCTACAAGTCCTCAGCATTAAAAATGTTTGGTCTTTTGGTCCCTAAAACAACTAAGGAATGACAGGTAAGACTCCCTGGAGACCGTTGCTATGGCTCTCCTTGGCAACGGTATCCCCTGGAAACGGACAGGCACTCCGAGCTAAAGATGGCCATCCCAAATCGAAGCCAATTTTTGTCCTGAAAGTATCACATTCCCCCTACTTAAGTTCTTTCTCCAAGAGTTGGTTCCTTTTTTGTTTCAAGTCTTATAAATTGGTCTTCAGAGGTCAGTTGCCCCAAACTCAAACCATCTTATAGAAGCATCTCCTTACGGCAGTCCTCTGGTCGGTTTTTCAAAAGTTTGTTTTGTTCTTGTTGGACCTTGGACATCCACATTTCCTTTGAGTTCAGTGGGGTTGGTCATTGTTAAGTAGGTTTAATATAGTTTCTTTTACTTTTTTCCTTTGTTGTTCAAAGTTTTTGTGGTCCAGGAACAATATAGCTGTCATTCAAGCAGGGTTTTGTGGAAAAAGAGGTGTGTATATGTGTGCAGACAAAAAGGTCCTGGGGCTGATCAGGCTGGTACAAACGCTGTCTGAGTTCCAAAGTTTTAGTACATCCAAAAAGAGGTGCCCTTGCCGCGGTCATTGCTCTCTCTCTCTCATGTGTTTCAGAAACAGCCTCGGTGGTCCAGATGTTGAGTTTGCACTCAGTGGCGGGTAGCAAGTAGTCAACATATGATTCAGCTCAACAAAACCTGAAAAGTACACAAGAAATAGAAACTCATTGAGTCAAGTAATGTGAAGGAAAACTAAACAAAATAAAGTTTGGTGTTTTATAACATAACATGATGTAACGCGTATGACATTAGCGAGTTGAAGTTTTTCAGCCATCTTCTCAACATGGCTCCAGGGATGGCAAATGTCCATCTGTCAGTCGGTCTGTCTGCTCACCATTCTGGTCCAGACAAAAATATCTCAACAACTAGAATGGATGGATTGCTCTTATATTTTGTACAGGTATTCATGATCTCCAGAGGACTCTGGTGATCCCCTGACTTTACCTTTAGCTCTATCATGAGGTTGACATTTATTAAATTTGGTACACACATTCATGCCCTTAGAGAATGAGCTGTAATCACTTTTCATCTAGTACCATTGCTTATTCCAATACTTTGGTTTGTGGCCAAATATATGCAAAACCAATAGGTTTCACATCAGCAACAGTTTTATTTTAAGTTTTGTTCTAATTAGCAAACACTTGCATGCTAATTAGAGCATAGACTGGGCTGCATATGTCTGTCTGAAACCAACCTGGGCCCGACAAGCTTGTACAGTCACGAGAAAAAGTAATGGCTCAATTTGCAGTTTCCTGGTTTTCTGTATAAATTGGTCATGAAATTTGATCTGATTGTCA